TCCCTTTCCTGACGAGCCGTTTGAGCCTAGTGGTCCCTACGCAGAGCTTGTGGGTTGCCTCATGTACCTGATGACTTGTACTCGCCCGGACCTCGCCTTCCCTCTCAGCATCCTTGCGCGCTTTGTTGCGCCAGGGAGACACCGTCCTGTTCACTGGACGGCAGCTGTGAGGGTGGCGAAGTACCTAGCGATGACATCAGGCATAGGGCTAGTTCTTGGAGGGCAGCAGTCTGTCGTACTCACTGGTCACTGTGACTCCTCTTACGCTGACGACGCTGAGACTCACAGGTCTACTCAGGGGTACTATTTCTGTCTAGGTTCTGGAGCTGTTTCCTGGCGTTCCACGCGCTCCTCTTCTGTCTCGACCTCTACAGCTGAGGCTGAGATCTACGCTGGTGCCATGGCGGCACAGGAGTTGCGTTGGTTGACCTTCTTGCTCGCCGACCTTGGTGAGCAGCCGAGCTCTGCACCGACCTTGTTCACTGACAACAAGGCGTCGATTCTCCTCTGTCGTGAGCCGCGACTGGAGAGCAGAGTGAAGCACATTCACGTCAGGTACTTTCTTCTGCGAGAGTTGCAGAGACGTGGACAGGCTCGCTTCGAGTTTGTGGAGTCCGAGGCCAACACTGCAGACGTCTTCACCAAGGCGCTTCCGCCTTGTGACCACCAGAGGTGTTGTGTGCAGTTAGGCCTTGTTGACACAGGTTCTAGTCGTGTGTAGGCTTGAGTTTACTGCCTGCTTTGTTTGTACTCTTGCTATATATACTTGTGATCTCTTGGACTGGCCTTGTGGCCACTGTTGCTTGTGCTCAGAGAGTGTGGTGACGTTGTGATCCACCCTGAGCTTTGTTTTCTTTTGGACTGGTCTTGTGACCGTACTCTTTTTGATTTTGCTAGACACCCCTCACTTAGGCTATGGGGGTGTGTCAAATGTTGTAGCCTGTAGTGAGGTTTGTCTTAGGGGGTACAGAAGTTAGGGTTTGTTATATGTACCCCAACCAACATCAATGCATCATTCATTCCTCATTCTGACAGATACTTGTACCCAAACATCTCTTTCAATGCAGTTGTTCCTGCCTAGTGATTCTAACAATTCCAACTTTTCAACATTTGCCTGGTCAACTGGTCAGCCTCGCGTCAGCTCGAAAGTCAACGGGTTTCTACACCGTCGGATCTGTTTTCAACCGAGATCTGCAGTTTTCATGCTATTGTAAGACTCGGCTTTTTATAAGAGCGTGTTCCTACAGGCCTGTTATCAGGGTTCCTGATATCAGACTCGGAGGTCCTCGAGGTTTTCGTTATAAAACATATTTTTGAAGACTGTATCACGCGACTAGAATTCACGCGGGAAATGTTCTGGAACTTGGCACATCGGCGAATCATCTCGAGTGATTACGCAGCAAATATTTCTGACGCGATATCGATATCACGTGCAAACAGATCCTTGTTTTGTCGGATGTGGTTTCCTTTTTCATCGCGTGTGGCAGTCGCCAGAAATTTGTTCACAAATGACGGAACGAGTCAATGAGTAATGTTCACACGTTTTGTTTCAAGCCTAAATCCACAGAAACTATTTCAGTGCAGCACAAAAAACAGTCATCCAAGCATTTTTGCTCGCACTCCTCAGGCCACGCGAAAATCACACAATAAAAAGTCATATTAAGCCAAGATGTAAGTGGTTTGTGCGAGTCTGACAAGAGGTTGGCCTGATAACATGCCGTAGGAGCACGCTTTAAGGCCACCTTATTTAAAAAGTGGGAGAGTGTAATAAATATACAATTCAATACTGTAGAGGCTGCTCCTAGCGACGACAGCTCGAGCACTTCGCGTTAGGATGGCTCGGCCTACACTTTCGCACCGAACCAATCCGAGTTGCCCTGCACCAATCGCAACGTCTTTGAGCCACACACATCTAGAGGTTCTCGCCTAGCTATTTTTCACCCTATAAATTGTCGTTTTTTTTCATTGCTTGATCATTCTGTAATTACGTTATCTTAAGATGAATTTTTCCGCGCACTCTGTTTAGTACAACTCATAACAGTTATGGTATTTATACCGTAATCTCCCGTATATAGGACCCGGGGGTCCTATCAAAAATGGTGTGAAAATTGATTGGGTGAACAATACCAAGGGGCATATTTACTAAGACCCCTGAACACAATAAAAATTCATAGAGCACAATGTCTTCACTCATAATACTAGAAAGTCAAGCTTTTACCGAGGGTGTTGAATTCTTTACCTGACGCGAATTCGAATCTCAACAGTAAAATCCACGCAAAATCGAATCCTGACTGGAATTTGACGCGGAACTGACTCGCGTCACCGTTTTGTGCCTGATGACGAGTCAGCCGAGCACCAGCAACCCCCCAGATTCGTTAAAAATATAACATTATTCTGAAAGTTTGACGAAGGAGTGGGGTCTTAAAATATTTATTTTAAAAAGGGGGGTCCTCACGAGAACAGGTCGGAATAAAAGACCCTTGGTCCGGAAAGAGGACCCAGGGTCTTCTCCGCGGGGGGGTACTGTATCCGGGAGATTACAGTAAATGGCCTGATATGGTGCAGTGGAACTGTGAAAGGAAAAATCATTTTCCTTACTTCGCGTCCCCGCTCAGCGCGTACACCACTGTAGCACCACAGTCAGCACCGTTACCACTCACAACCCTCGCATCGACAATCATCCCGCCACCTTCGCACGTCGCACCCCGACCTCACAGCTCGGCGGGTAACCCGCGCTCCGGGCCTCCGCTTCGACACTTCTCCAAACCTCAGTCCCAGGCCCATCGCGCGACAACCACAGTCCATTACCGTTACCACTGCAGTTTCGCTATATATTCTTCGCTCATGCCTTCGCTCATTGTACTCTTGCTTAGATAGCCAATTCCCGCTAGATCACTCAATTGCACTTGTAACAAACTGTAAGAAATTTCGTTCTAGTATGTTATACCGTATTCAGGACTGCGCTGCATGATCGCAAGATCTTCGTTCAGGTGACGCGTCCTGAAATGAAACCATCTCCGAACACCTCTGAAGCGAAACCATACCATCACCTTCAAATGTCCGTTTCCTCGCAACAAGCTGCAAGCATGGTCAAGTAACGTCGTCATGAACATAGAAAGGTCGTCGTACAGCGTATGCTAGACATCGTCAGCTTCAAGCCGTAGGATCCGCGAAAGGCGGTTGTCGTTTTGCCGTAATAACCCAGGAACCATGCCGCTGACCCCGGTTTTGAGACAAAACGGTCCGCTTCGAGGATTTGTCAACCACAGAAGCAATGTTGGAACAACAGGACCCTTGAGCAACAACCTGGCCAACAACCTTGTGGAGATCGAAAAGGTGGAAAGCATAGAACAGCCAGAATGTAGCCTTCTAACATCCCGCCTAATCTCCTCTCCCTTTTTTTCAGGTCAATGACATGTGGAGAAAGAGAGTAAGAAAACTTGCTGCTTTCATACGTGAACTAATTGATTACCTAATTTTGACGTCCTGAAGTGAGCTAAATTTGCTGACTCAGTCTTTCTAGTGAGCAGATTCGCACCACGCAGGAGGCACTGAAGGCAATGATGCAACGACACTCTTTGCTTAACAATGACATCGTACAGAGAAATGCTTCTTTGCAAAAGGTACCAAAACGCTTGTCACGACCACCCGTTCACACATTGTGAGCGGTACGCCTGATCCGTCTGATTTTTTTGTTCACTTTCAGGAAATGATGCACCAGCAAGCTCAGGTAAGATTGGTCCAATCCCGTTTATGTTTCTAACTTAAGAAACTGATCTTAAATTTCTTTTTAGATTGAACTGCTTCGCAATGAAAGTATTCAGCAAAGGGTGCTGATCAAAGTCTTGAAGAGTGAAAAGGAGGTGAGGCTAGTGAGAGCTTTGTGGTTGCTTGCTTTCTATGCGACAGTTCACTGACATTCACCTGCAGGAAGCAGAGAGGCTGCTTGAAAAGGCGAAGGAAGAGAATGCAAGATTGCAAGAAAGACTGGACAACCTTGAGGTGCACGACATCTCTGTTATTCAAAACATTAGTATGCTAACCAGACACTAATAATAAAATGGACATGCAGGAGCTACAGCTTCTTGCAACGAAGAAAGCACCGCCGAAGGTATGGCATTGAAGATGCAAGTTTGTTTGTTGGTTGTTAATAGTCAAGCCCGGTTATTCATCTCGTCTGCCTGATTTTCAGAAGCCTAGCGACAATCGACAGCAAGATCCTCTAATGGCAGGACATGCAGGACTGACCAGAGCAAGAACGAGGAAGGTTAATATACCTCCATCCAGGTAGATCATCATGATGTTTCCAGTTTCAGTATTTTTCAGGTTTAAATCTTCTTGACAGGATGCCAGGGACCGTCAAAGAACGCGAAGAGCAGGAACACCCCACCGTATCCTGTATGCGGCCACGCACCTACAATCCCAAGCCACCTAAGATGCAGCCAGTGGGTCAGGTGGAACGCGAAGACGCAGAATCTGATGCAGAGAGTTGCAGCTCAAACAACATCCACTCTAAACCCACAAGGGTCCAAACACACAACCCCACGAGCAGGCGTCCACATAGCCACACAGACAATTCTGTTGGCAGACCCGGCAACCCTTCAGCTTCTTTCGCTCCTGAAACAGTCGATGAGGTGAAGGAAGCTTCAGAGCCACCAAAGCGTGCCCTTCGTGCCCGAACTCTTATGAGCTACAAGGAGCCACCATTGCATACCAAACTTCGCAGACCTGAGTGAAGCAGTGTGTCATTTGCTGTGCATCAAGCTCTCATCTTCCCTCTCTGGCTATGAAGCAGCTTAACTTTTGCTCCCAATAGCATACCATCTCTAAGTATATTCATCCACTATAATACTAGTATCTCAATTCTGAAGATTCAACACTATGTATCCAGCTTGGACACGCATCAATTGAGTTATGCTATAATGGTGACACGCTGGTTCCAACAAGAATATCAGCATGGTTGACCTTCTGTTCATTTGAATGGCTGACTGGGACCTTGCTCAATGGCGTCTGTTACTCATGCGACCATCCCTTCGCGCCTTGTCGCCATCCCACGACTCGTCCCGCATCCCCCCTCCTTGACCAGGACCGCTACGTTCATAGCTCCCTCCCGCTCCACCATCCTGCTCCCCAAGCCTGCCAGCAAGTCTGGAGCTCCTAGCAGGCCCTGCGCCTCGTGAAGGTGGTGGCAACTCAACCTCACCACTTCTCCTGCCCCCACCTCCGCCACCGCCGCCACCATCAGCAATCCACCGCCTGTCCGCACGGTCATCAAGCGTTGAAGTCACATGCAGCATCGGCCCACCACGATGCCCACCCCCAGCCGCCATAACCACAGCAGGGGAACGCGACGGGTGAACCCCGCCTGAGTGGAACGGCGGAGCAAGCGGCATGGGCATCGCTGACGGCCCACCTGCTGCAATGCTAGCCACAGGCGGGCCGGAAACGCCTGGCGAATGCATGGCATCCCCATGCGGCTGCATGAGGCTCTGATCCCGCTTGATTTTCCTTCGCTTTGCAGGGAGAGCAGCCGAGGAGCTCGTAGGAGCCAGCTGCGCAGGTAGGGAGAGAGGCTGCGGTGGAAGCGGGGAAATCGGCTGGAGGTCCCTGGGAGGTGGTGCAGAGGAGAACTTGCTCTCCCGAGGCGAGCGGTCCCGCTCCCGATAAGGCTCACGGTCTCGCGGGTGATCGCGGTCCCGGTCCCGATCCCTGTCCCGTTCCCGGTCTCGTTCGTCATAGTCGTGATCGCGATCCCAGTCGCGGTCCCGCTCACGTGGCTGGGGGAATACAAGGTGGGAAGGAGCAGTGTGAGGGCAACACAAAAAAGGGAAAGGAATTGACAAGGGAGGAGGCTTGGAGTCTGGAACAGGGATAAGTGGGTGACCTGTACAGGGGATAATGTATTTGTATGTGCATTTAAATGCAATAACTGGTTTGATTAAAACAACGTACCTCATGAATGATTCTTCCAGCAGGTGCAGGTGCAGTTACACCGACCACAAGCGAGTGACGAAGCCCCTGCCCTGCTCCATGCCTCTGTGCATGCCCCTCCTCCCGCCCCTCCTCGGCCACATCCCTCACCACCACACGAATACCCCCTCCCCTCTCAATGCTCCGCTCTGGGAAGATTCCACGCTCCTTCTCACCCTTCTCACCACGCTCTCTCTCCCCACGCTCTCTCTCCCCACGTTCCTTCTCATACACACGCTCCTGCTCCACTCCCCGCTCCTCCTCCTTGCCACCCACTCTCTCCCCCCTCTCTCCCCTCTCCCTCCCACTTCTGCCGCGCTCACCCAGTCTCTCTTTCACAGTTGATCGCTCATGCTCCCTCTCTCTCCCCCCATCCCTCTCGTGCTCCCACTCCCTGTCCCTCTCCTTCAGATGCTCAGGCTCCCTCTCATGGCCCCCCACTCTCTCCTCCTTCACCTCCCTCTCTGGGGTGCTATCAACCTGCCCTCGCTCTCTCTCCCTCCCCTTATCCCTTTCCCTCTCCTTCTCCCTCTCCCTGTCCCCTTTGCGATCAGACACACCCTTCTCACGCACACCACCCCTTTCCCCCCACTCATGCACATCCCCACGCCCATCAACCACAATACCTGTATCCTCCACGTCTCTCCCCCTCCCCCGCTCCACACTGCCTCTCTCACTCCACTCTCCCTTCTCCCCTCCCCGACCCCCCCCTCCCCCGCTCCCCTCCTCTCCCTTCCCCTCTCCCTTCCCGCTCATGCAACCTCGGCGTTTCCTCTCCCCTCTCCCGCTCCTTCTCCCTCTCTTTCTCCCTCCCCCTCTCCTCCCTCCCTCTCTCCCTCTCCATCTCCCCGTCGCCCCTCCTCACTCGCTTCACTCCCCGCTCCCCACTCCCCCCGGCCACCGCCCCTCCTCCCCCATCTTCTGACGAGCTCACACTCCTCTTCCCTCCCCGACCCCTCCCTCCATCCTCAACCCCTTCCATTTCTTTCAGACTTCTCACACCAGATGTGCCTCCTGCTACTCCTCCCCCTCCGCCTCCTACACCCCCCTCTCCTCCCCCTCCTACACCCCCCCCTCCACCACTCCGACCAGCAGTGGCAGCAGCAGCCGCAGCCACAGCTGCTGCAGCAGCAGCCTTACTTCGCTCCCTTTCCTTATCCTTCCCCGACCCCCGCTCCCTCTCCCTCTCTCGCTCCTTCTCCCTCTCCCTTTCCTTCTCTCTCTCCCTTTCCCTCTCCTTCTCCTTTTCCCTCACCATCAAATCTTCCTCAAGCCGAGCCCTCAGCCTCTCCCTCTCTTTCTCCCTCTCCCTCTCCTCCCTCATCTTCTCCTCCTGCACTCGCTCCCTCTGTTTATCCTTCTCCTTCTCCTTCTCCTTCTCCTTCTCCTTCTCCTTCTCCCTTTCCTTCTCCTTTTCCCTCTCCTTCTCCTCTCCCCTCTCCTCCTCATGGTTCCTCTCACGTCCCTTGTCCCTCTCCCGCCCTTCCTTCACCTCCCCCCTCTCCACTTCACGATCCTTCTCCCTCTCCCCTCGCCCTCTGTCCCGTCCCTTGTCCTCCCTCTCCCTCTCCTTCCCCCTCTCCCTCTCCCTCTCCCTATCTCTACCTTCTCTCTCCTTCCCCTTCCCTCCATCCGCCTCCCTTTCTCTATCCAGCACCTTTGATTTATCTTTATCCCGCTCCTCCCTCTCCCTCTCCCTACTATTCATCTCCTCTTTCTCAATCTTCACACTTTTCTCATCCCTCCCACCACGCACATCCTGCTCCCCATCCTCCCACTCCCCTCTCTTCCCCCTCGCGCCCACATCTCTCCCCCCTCTCTCTCCGCCCCATCACTCCCCCTCTTATGCCCTCCTCTCCCCTCCCACCTGCCCTCCCCTCTGCCATCCCCCCTCACCTCCCCAGCCTCATGCTCCTCTTTCTCCTCATACACTCTCCTACCAGACCCACCTGCACCCAAGCCCTCCCTGTGGTTCGCACCCTCACCCCCCACGCCCAACTTCCCACCCTTCCCTTTGCCTGATTCAAACCCTCCCTCCTCCTCGCCTCCTCGCTCCCTCCCTGCCCTTTCTTCGTGCCTACCACCCCCACCAGACCCTCTTCTCTCCCTCTCCCTCTCCCTCTCCTTCTTTCCCCTCCCTCCCTTCCTCAACTCTCCTCCCTCCCTTAGTTTCCATCTCTTCATCCCTCCCCCTGTCCCCTTCCGCCCCACCCCCTGCCCCTCTCAGTGCAGCAGGCACAAAGGGAGGAGCATCAGGGGAGAGCTTGCTGCCTGCCCTCACCCCCCCTCTTCCAACCTCTCCTCCTCCTCCTCCCCTTCCCCCTCCCTCGCCCTCTCCTCCTTCCACCTTCCTGTGCTTCGCAGGTGGTGCTTGCTCCCCCTCCTCCCACCTATCCTCTCTTCTCCCTTCCGCCGGCCCCACTGTCCTCGTTACAGGCTCCTCCTTTACAGGGACTTCAGCAGCAGCAGCACGGGTAGAAGAACCACCACCAGCACCAGCAGCAGCACCAGCAGCAGCACCAGCAGAAACACCCTCCTCTCCTTTAACCATTGTGACTCTCTCCCTTTCCTTTTCCACCACCCTACCCCTCTCCTTCTCCTCCACTCTATCATTCCCCTCTTCCCCCATTCCCCCGTGGATCAGGGGAGACTTAGTGACAGGGCGTTCGGGGGAAGGGGGAGGCATGGAGGATCGGCGTGAGGGCGGGGGCGTGGGATGGCGACTGGACGGAGCAGAGGGAGCAGCAGCGGCGACAGGGATAGCAGCAGCACCAGCGGTACCGCCAGCAGCAGGAGCAGCAGCAGCAGTGGGTTTGACATTAGCGGCAGGAACAGTAGCAAGAGCGGCAGGAGAGGTAGCTGCAGCAGCAGCAGTGGTGGTGGTGGTGGGGGCAGCAGGAGCGGCAGCAAGAGGGGCAGGGGAGGCAGCACGGGGGGCGGCAGAGGGAGCTGGTGCTCCTCCGAACTCTTCATCTGTCACCCATGATTGCTGCGAGAAAAATAAGTGAGAAAATAGGAAGACACGAAGGCTAATAATCTCTCAGGAAAAGAAAGAGAAGAGTTACAAGTACATATTTCCAGAAATATGATTCTTGGCTTGTTTCGTTTCGACAAGGCGTGTCACTTGTGGACCCAACAATTCAAGACCTGAAAATTTGATCCCTTGTTGCATCCGTCCGTACCTTCTTGGCATTGAGTGCAGCCGACAGCCGACACACTGGTGGCCAAGGGCTTCAGATGAGAAATGACGGCATACCTGATGATCCGTCATGTGAGACAACCACTTTCCACTGACTGACACCTTACTGACATGACACTGAGACCATCTTTTCTCCCACTTCAGCCGTACCTTCTTGGCATTGAGTGCAGCCGACACACTGGTGGCCATGAGTTTCAAATCCTGGCGCTCCTCTGCCTTGAGGCGATTTACCTGATGGTCATGGTGGCATGGGATGGCACAACGGCATCATGGCAAAACGGTATGACGAGATGATGGCATGACGAGATGATGGCATGACATGACGAGATGATGGCATGACGAGATGTTGGCATGACATGACGAGATGATGGCATGACATGACGAGATGATGGCATGTCATGACGAGATGATGGCATGACATGACGAGATGATGGCATGACATGACGAGATGATGGCATGACATGACGAGATGATGGCATGATGGCATGGCCGTGTGATGGAACAATGAGATCATGAGATGCTGCAGTTTTGCAGATACGAAGCGGCGACTAATGTGCAACAGGGGTTGATGGCATGGTGGCCACGGCGGCGGGGGCGGCGGCGGCGGAGGCAGCAACAGCATCATCATCAAAAGCAACCAGAGCAGCACCACACCTACCTTGCGCTCTAGGGCCCACAGCCACTCACCTTGCGCTCGAGCACGAGTCCCCCGCGCTTGGTGACGGGGAAGACGGCAGAGACGCGGGATAGCAGTGTGAGGGCGTTGCGAATGTGCATGTACTCGGTGGACTCGAGCAGGGTGGACAGCACCTTCACTAGCTTCGCGTTCCACTTCCAGTTGATCTGGCGGCCGTGACAGGGGTGTATGGGAGACGGAAGAGGGGAGCCGCATGTGAGATGCAGTGAGGGAATGTGCATGTACTCTGTGGGCACGAGGAGCGTGGAGTGGACAGCACCTTCACTAACTTGGCACTCCACTTCCAGTTAATCTGGTGGCCAGGGGGTTATGAAGAGGGAAGATGAGAGTGGGGCGTGGGAGACATGAGGTGGGCGTGTGGGAGACATGAGGTGGGCGTGTGGGAGGCATGAGGTGGGCGTGTGGGAGGCATGAGGTGGGCGTGTGGGAGGCATGAGGTGGGCGTGTGGGAGGCATGAGGTGGGCGTGTGGGAGGCATGAGGTGGGCGTGTGGGAGGCATGAGGTGGGCGTGTGGGAGGCATGAGGTGGGCGTGTGGGAGGCATGAGGTGGGCGTGTGGGAGGCATGAGGTGGGCGTGTGGGAGGCATGAGGTGGGCGTGTGGGAGGCATGAGGTGGGCGTGTAAGAGGCAGGCAACAGGAGGGGCGTGGGAGGCAGAAGATGGGAGGGGACAGGGAGCGGGGATTTTACTTTTGAGAATTCTCAAAAGTAAAATTCAGGGAGCGGGGATTGGGGAAGTGAGTGCAGTGAGGGTTTGTCAACGCAGTCAACATGGTCAACGCAGTCAACATGGTCAACGCAGTCAACATGGTCAACGCAGTCAACATGGTCAACGCAGTCAACATGGACAACGCAGTCAACATGGTCAACGCAGTCAACATGGTCAACGCAGTCAACATGGTCAACGCAGTCAACATGGTCAACGCAGTCAACATGGACAACGCAGTCAACACGGACAACGCAGTCAACATGGTCAACGCAGTCAACTTGGTTAAAAGTGTATACAGCCAGGACAGCAATTAAAGAACCCACAGCGCAGAGCTGGTCGAGTGTCATGCTGTTGTGAGGCTTCTTTATCACACTCTTGTCAATGAAGTCAACATGGTCAACAGGGCCAACACAATCAATAGGCCAACACACAAGACAGGAGCATGAACCACTCACCGTGCGGAACTGGTCGAGCGTCATGTTGTGGGGTTTCTTCATCACACTCGTGTCAACGCAGTCAAACAGGGTCAACAGCAATACGCTCAACACGGTCAACACAGCCTTACCGTGCGGAACTGGTCGAGCGTCATGTTGTTGTTGGGTTTCTTCATCACACTCTTGGATGACCCGGGGTGCTCCAGACACTCCGCGTTGTACACCCCTGCATCGCTCTGCCAGTCACCGACAGCAATGGTAGGGCAGGGGGGAGGGAGGAGGGGGTAGTGGAGGGTTGTGGAAAGGTGAGATCCAGACACTCCGCGTTGTACACCGCTGCATCGCTCAGCCATGCACGCACGCACGCACGCCGAGAGGGGGAGGGGGTAAAGGAGGAAAATAGGGGAGTGAGTGGTGGAGAAACAGCGTGGTGTGAGTGAGGAAAGAGGTGGTACACTGCTGCTGCATCGCTCTGCCACATACCGACAGCAAAGTAGGGAAGGGGGAGGAGGAAGATGGGGGGGGGGAGACTGGAGAGAGTGAGGGAGAGAAAAGGTATGGTGTGAGTGAGGAATGTGGTCCACACATTCCCGTTTGCACAATGATGCGTCGCTCTGCCCGACAGGTTCCGACAGTAAGAGGGGGGAGGGTGAGTGTGGTCCAAGGGTGTGAAGGATGGGAGGCAAATTGTCTGTTTCGAGAATAACCCCAGCAAATAGGTAATAAATTGCCACAGACAATTTGGCAAATTGTCTCAAAACATCTGCATTACCTCCAGCACAAACTGCACTGCCCCAGGCGGCTCAGTCACCTTACCTACCTCTGACTCGCTTTTACACCCATACCCCCCCCTCCCTCTTCCCTCCTTCCCTTCCCCTCTAACCCACCTTCCACCGGTAGATGGCCTGCAGTATCTCCAGCACGACGCGGCCCAGGCGGTCCAAGCACCCTAACCGCCCCAATTGCCCCAATTGCCCCAATTGCCCCAATTGCCCCAACCCAATTGCTCCAATTGCCCCAGTCTTCAACATTTTCCTCCCTCCCACTCCTCCCTCCCACTCCTCCCTCCCACTCCTCCCTCCCACTCCTCCCTCCCACTCCTCCCTCCCACTCCCCCCTCGCACCTTCCACCGGTAGATGGCCTGCAGAATCTCCAGCACGAACCGCCCCAGGCGGCCCGCCTCGGCTTCAGAGGAGCTGGCGAGCAGCGGGTGGAAGCTCTTGCAAACAAAGGCGTCCACCATCTGGAACGTGCAGAACTGCGGGGTGGCCGCCGCATGCATGCGGAGGATGAACCTGGTGGGGGGGTAGAGAGAGGGTGGAGGGAGGGAAGGGGGGGAGTGGTGGAGGGTGGAGAGTGGATGGGGGAATGGGAGAGAGGGGGTGGCGTGGCGTGGCGGCTCTTGAAGCTCTTGACTTTTGAGACGTCTCAAAAGGTGTGGCGGCTCTTGAAGCTCTTGCAAACAAAGGCGTCCACCATCTGAAATGTGCAGAACTGCGGCGTGGCTGCTGCGCAATCACCTGGCACAATAGGCTGCATCCTCTGCGTTATCCCATGAGCACCCGTGGGATAACGCAGCGGTGCAGGAAGGAAGCATGGCACGCTGCGCCAGCTCTCCGGCACTGTCGACCAAGAACTACCTACGACGACCCGGCTATGCTGTGCTGTGCTCACGAACATGCACTCACTTGGCGCAGTTCAGCACTCATGAGCATGCGGGGGGGAATGGCGCAGTGATGCAGGAAGCACGGCATGGCACGATGCACCAGCTGTCCGGCACACCACACCGGCAGAGCTCCAAGTTAATGCTTGCACCGCAACTCCCTCCTAGAATCCACTCAATCCACTCACTTGGCGCAATAGACTGCATCCTCCGGGCTCATCAGAACCCTCGGAATGACGCAGTGGTGCAGGAAGCACGGCACGATGCGCCAGCTGTCCGGCACGGCTGCAGGGCTCAGCCAGCGTGCCCGATCCCGAACCAGCCGCCGCTGCACTGCCTCGACCCGAGCCTGCTGCCGAGCCAGCTCGGCTGAGAGCCGGTCCAACAGCTCCTGCACACGTTCCTTCTCCTTCTTGCGCTTCTGATAGATGGGTGCGCGTGAGACATGATGGGGAAGAGGAGAATGGGAAAGGCAAGAGGAGGGAAAGGGAGGGGAGTGAGTGAGATGAGATGGTCCAACAGCTCCTGCACCCGCTCCTTCTCCTTCTTGCGCTTCTGCGGTGGGTGGGGAAGTGAGGTGATGGGATGGAAAGTTAGGAACGGAAGGCGAGAGGGGAGACAGATGAGAGCCAGTCCAGCACCTCCTGCACGCACTCCTTCTCCTTCTTGCGCTTCTGCAGTGGGTGGGGAGGTGATGATGGGAGGGACGCATGGCACGAAGGTTGATTTGAGAGGGAAGAACGCCAGTAAAAGACTCAGGGACTTTTTTGTCCAAAGTTAAAAGTATTCCCAGCTAAACAATCCTGAATAGCCTGAAAGAATCACCTGAATGGCTGAGCCTGATGAATCACCGATGTTTTCAAGCGACCTCAGCAGCGCCCTCTGCTTGGCCATCTCGGCCTCGTAGCGCTGCCGTGGCATATGCAGATCGCAGAGGGAGAGAGTGAGAGAGAAAGGAGGAGAGGCGGAGAACCCGCATCAACACACTCTCACCTGGATGGCTGATCCTGAGGAGTCCCCAATGTCCTCGAGGGAGCGCAGCAACGCCCTCTGCTTGGCCATCTCGGCCTCGTACCGCTGCCGTGGCACATGCAGGTCGCAGAGCGACAGCCCCCAGAAGAGCAGGTAGAAGGGCGGCGACAGGCCCCGCCACGCTGCTGCGGGCGGCATGTTTCGGACCCACTCCACCACGTCCCTCCAGTGCACTGGGCTGTCAGTGGCGTCGACACCAGCAGCAGTAAAAGCAGCAGCAGCAGCAGCACCAGCGGCACTAGCAGAAACAGCAGCACCAGTTGTAGCTGCTGCATCTCCCAGGCACAACACCAAGTCCTCTTCCTCTTCCAAATCCCCTTCGACCTCGACCCCATCCTCCACTACCCCATCCATTGCCACCCCGTCCCCTGCCCCCTTCCTCCCCCCCTGCTGCTGCTGCCTCTTCTCCTTCTCCCCTCCCCTCCCACCACCCCCACCACTCCCACCCGCACCACCCCCAGCAGCAAGAGCCGGCCAGGACACGGGGGAATCAGGGCAGGGCTTGAAGAGGCGAAGCACCGGGCGGTAGAAGAGGAAGGCGGCTTCGGGCGGCATGTGGAAGCGCTGGGAGAGCGCGTGCAGGGTCGGGACGAAGGCGGCGTACGCGGCGGGCGGCGAGAGGGCGGCGGAGAGGAACTGCGCGTACTGTAGCATGATGAGGTGGCAGCGGTCGAAGTGCTCGCTGAGTAGCTTGATGTGTGATCCCTCTGCCTCGAATACGATGCTGGGAGAGAGGAACGGGACAGACAGAGAGAGGGTTATGAGAATGCAAGGCCTGCTGTGAGGGCAGGGAGTAGCCTGGCAAGGCAAGGCAAGGAAGAGGTGGCAGTGGTCGAAGTGCTCGCTGAGTAGCTTGATGTGTGAGCCCTCTGCCTCAAACACGATGCTGGGAGGGGGGAAGAGAAGAAGAGAATTTTTAAGTGGGGCAGAGTGGGTGGGAGAGACAAACGGCGGAAATTCTGGCTGGGGAGGAGGGGGCCATTGATGAGCCGTTATGTTATGTGCAAGGGATCCCGAAGTAGGAGCCATGACTTTACGTGGCAGCAGCTTCTAGTAAGAATATTTATTTGTTTGTGTCATGGCTCCTACCTGGGGCTCTCTGGGCAGGGCATGGATGAGCCGTTATGTTCTTTGTCACACGATGGCCACTCACTCACTCACTTGGTGGAATGGAATGAGTGATATGAGTATGTCCACGCGATGCGTCCAGTCCAGCCACTCACTTGGATCGCTGCCTGGCAATGAGCACCAGCAGCGGCACAGCCAGGTTCGGCTCGCCCTTGCCCGGCAGCAGAGAGTCCTTCAGCCGCCCCATGGACCGCGCCATTGCCTGCCACGGTGCCGTGCCGGTGAGTGTGGGGTTGAGCAGGGTTGGGTGGTGTAAAAGGGAAGGGGGCAGGGCAGGGAATGGGGGCTTGGAGACACGACACCAAAGGCAGAGCTTCTTTCAGTTCAGCCGCCCCAAGCCCCCATGGACCACGCCATGGCCTGCGACGGCACTGCACTGGTGAGGGTGGCGGGGGGAGGTGGTGCTGGATGGGGGTTTGTGAACGGGAGGGCGGGAGGGCGGTGCGGGGTGGGAAGGGGATTTTGAGACATCTCAAAGCAGAGCGTCCTTGAGCCGCCCACAGTAGGGATGATCTGGTGGTGCCCCCCCCTTCCCTTCCCCATCCCCACCTCTGCCACGGCAAGCCATGCAACAGCTCACCTTGTTGTTCTTGTCCTGCCCGAAGCTAGCAGTGAGCTGCCGGAGGGTCTCCCCGCCAGCCAGTGACTCAAGCTGCTCCTCTGTGAGGTTCTCATTTGACTCGATGCCAGCCATCTGCTCCATCAGCTCCTGCAGCAGCACCAGCTCCACCGCCTCCCCTTGGTGCAGCCGATTCACCAGATAGCTTAGCAGCCCTCGCAGCTCCACCAGAGGGTACTTCTTGCAGCTGGGAGGGACAGGAAAAGGAGAGGGTGAGTATAAGGCAGTCAGTCACAGTATCGATGCCGCTCATCCGCTCCATCAGCTCGTGCAGCAGCACTAGCTCCACTGCTTCCCCCCCAAGCAGCCGGTTCACCAAATACTTGAGAAGCCTTCGCAGCTCCACCAGAGGGTACTTCTTGCAGCTGGGAGGGACAGGGTTTGAGGTGCGGACAGATAAGGTGAGGACGAGAGGCAAGGTGTGAGTCTAAAGCTCCACCGCCTCGCCTTGGTGAAGCCGGTTCACCAAGTACTTGAGCAGCCCTCGCAGCTCCACCAGAGGGTACTTCTTGCAGCTGGGAGGGACAGGGTTTGAGGTGCGGACAGATAAGGTGAGGACGAGAGGCAAGGTGTGAGTCTAAAGCTCCACCGCCTCGCCTTGGTGAAGCCGGTTCACCAAGTACTTGAGCAGCCCTCGCAGCTCCACCAGAGGGTACTTCTTGCAGCTGCGGGGAATGAGGAGAGGGAGAGGGTGAGGCGTATCAAAGGGGTCAGGCTCAGTGTGAAGCTCCACCGCCTCCCGTCTCGAGCGTGTGCAGCTGGTTAACCACATAGATCAAGGCGAGGGAACAATGGATGTCTACTGAACCCCGTCGTTAAGGCGCCTCAAGAGTAGAGGACAAGATATGTACACGGAGCCCTGATGAAAGGCGACGCCACAAAGCGACTTTTGAGTCGACTCAAAAGGTGACTTTTGACTTTTGAGTCGACTCAAAAGTCACAAGATATGTACACGAAGCCCTGATGAAAGGCGGCGCCACAAGGCAACACCAGCCCAGTAGGGAACGTAGACAGAGCCCAGCAATGGAAAGGAAGAGGGGGGAGGGATGTACACAGAGCCCCAGAAGGAGGCGAGGCACTGCAGCCAGTCGGCGATGTTGAGTCCGTCCTCCTTGATGGTGCTGCGCTGCAGTGCCAGTCGCTCTATCACCACGTACTCGAGAATGTCAAACTCCAGCTGGGGAGGGGAGATGGAGGGGCAGGGGCGAACGGGGGGAGGGTGGTGGAGTAGGAGGAGAGCAGATGCCAAGAGAGGGCTAACATGGCCAATGGGCATACCACCAGGTAGAAATATTAGATAGAAACAGGACCAGGTGCTCCAGCATGTGTCTTACTGCAGCTGGCACGACTCAAAAGGCAGGAAGACAAACGAGGGGCCACGAGGGGCGGGCAGGGCGGGGTGCGGCAGGGCGGGGCAGGGTGGGGCAGGGTGGGGCAGGATGGGGCGTGGAGCACTGACCTGGTTGAAGTACTTGAAGGCATCGACGACAGGCGGGATCATCTCCTTGTATGCCTCCACCTGCCAGCCAGGGGACAGGAAGGGAGAGGAGAAGAGGGGGAAAGGTGTTAGATTATACTACTCTTTTGTATCCTGCATTGAACCCTAAAATAGAGATAAGCACCCAAACATAGTTTGGGTGCACAAACTAGGGTTAACCCTAGTTGGGGGTTGGAACCCAACCTTGGTCCAATTATTGGCCCCCAAGGTTGGGTTGGGAGATTATTGGCCCCCCCAATAATGTGGGCTCACTTTTGCCAACATTATTGGGACCCCCCAATAATTCTCCAACCCAACTTATTGGTGGGGGGCCAATAATGTTGGCTAGGTACCCAACCACCCCCCCCCCTTTCCCTAGCTCCAACTATGTAAGCCCTCTTGATTCCTAATCAAATCAATCGGTTCAATTCTAACAAAAGGGAGGCGCGAGGGATAGGTTGTTAAGAAGAAAGAGTATATGAAGGCAAGGCATCAAGTCAACGACAGGCGGGATCATCTCCTTGTATGCCTCCACCTGCCAGCCAGGGGACAGGAAGAGAAGGCAAGGGGGGAATCGGTGGTGAAGGAGAGGCTTGTACAACGCATCCGTCTGTACACTGCACTGCACCACTTTGCAGTGCCCACGCTCGCAATGCCCAACGCGGCAGGCAGTGTGGATGAGCATAGGGCGCGTGCCAGCAGCACTCACAACTTTTGAGGCGCCTCAACAGCAAAACCCACCTGCCAGCACGGTGAGCGGGTTGGAGTGAGCCAGCTGTTGGCCCACATCTGAACCTGTAAATTCCAACCATCACTCCACCACACACACCAACTCCCACCTGCACCAGAATGCACCAGAATGCACCAGAATGCACCAGAATGCAACAATGCACCTTGACGCACCACGATGCACCACAAACAATGCACCACGGAGCTTGCGTCTGACCCACCTGCACCACAATGCACCGCAATGCACCACGGAGCTTGTGTATGACCCACCTGCACAACGATGGTCCACAGCACAGTGAGCGGGTTGGAGTGCGCCAGCTCGTAACCCATACCTGAACCTGCAACTGCCAACCATCACCCCACTCCACCACACCCAGCAGCACCCACCTGCACCACGATGGTCCTCAGCACAGTGAGCGGGTTGGAGTGCGCCAGCTGCTACTAGCCCATCTCATACCTGGACCCGTAACTGAAAATCACCGCGGCACAGCACACCCAGCAGCACAGCACCCACCTGCACCACGATGGTCCGCAGCACGGTGAGCGGGTTGGAGTGCGCCAACTTCGCCACCATGCGCCCCGTCGGCTTCAGATTCTCCTTCGCCAGCCGCTTCAGCGTGCGCCGTGTGTCCAGCTGGGAAAGGGGAAGGGGAGAGGGGCGCACATAAAAAGATGCATGAAATGAAGCTCGAACCATGGGCTTCAGGTTCGTCTTTGCCAACTGCATTTCACTTGGTGACTTTTGAGTCGACTCAAAAGTCAAATGGAGCTCGAACCATGGGCTTCAGGTTCGTCTTTGCCAACTGCATTTCTCTTGGTGACTTTTGAGTCGACTCAAAAGTCAAATGAAGCTCGAACCATGGGCTTCAGGTTCGTCTTTGCCAACTGCATTTCTCTTGGTGACTTTTGAGTCGACTCAAAAGTCAAATGAAGCTCAAACCATGGGCTTCAGGTTCGTCTTTGCCAACTGCATTTCTCTCCCACCCAGACACTCTGGAAAAACAGAACCTCTACCATCCCAAGCACCTTCACCAGCAATCCCAGCAACCAATTCTAGCCCACTGGGTTACCCACTTACCAGTCACTACCGTGTCCATCAACCCCCAACCCAACTCACCCGTGCAATCTGCCGGGCAGCGAGCACTAGGGGGTTGGTCTCGTTCTCCCGCTCCCACTCGCCATAGAGGCGGTAGCGCTCCTGGAAGGGCAGGCAGGCCAGCACCTCCCACAGCTGCATGCACACCGGCGGACTCGCCACCACCGCCTGCAGCGCCGGCAGCAGAGACGCCTCTAGCGCCTCCACCACCCGCCCCTCCACCTCCCTCGCTGCCGCTGCTGCTGCCTCTGCTGCAGCAGCCGCCGCTGCTGCTGCTGGTGTTGCTGTAGCAGCAGCAGCGTCAGGGGGAGCAAGCGAAGTTTCGGGTTGGGAAGAAGTAGGGCCGTTGCCTGTTGCTGCTGGTGTGAGCACGTCAAGAGAAGGGCCGTTGCAGAGAGCTGCAGGAGTGGAGGTGGCAGCAGATGCAGCGGCTGTGGCAGCAGCGGCGGCAGCAGCAGTTGCAGCGGCGGCGCGGGCTTGGAGAAGATCTGCCTTGAGCACCTTGCACAGCTGGGATGTCCCGACGTAATATAGGGGAGTGTGGTGCGGTGCAAATGGTGTGGCCGATATTATGTGAGTCGGTGTGGTGCGGTGAGGAGGTGTGTGGCACGCCATGCAAAACAGCAATGAAAGAGCAGAGTGGAGAAGGAAGAAATAATTATCAGAGGTTTGGTTAGAAGCAAGTTCAGAGGGTGGCATGCAGAGGGGCGTGTGGCATGCAGAGGGGCGTGTGGCATACAGAGGGGCGTGTGGCATACAGATGACAAGTGGACGTGGTGAGAGGTGATGGAAACAAGCGCCCTGAAAGATTCCAATCTCAGAACCCCTAAAGCCCACCGGCCAGTCACTTCTCACCTTGTGCAAAGGAATGGTATCCTGGTACAGCAGAAAGGCCTGCAGCAACTGCAGCATCTCAATCTTAGAGCCCCCTGGAATCCCATTCCCCCAGTCTCACCCCTCACCTTCTGCAGCAGACTGGTGTCCTGGTACAGAAACGCCCCCAGGAACCGAAGCATCTCATCCTCTAGTCCCCCTTAAAGCCCACCCGCCAGTAACTTATTCTCACCTTGAGCAGCAGAATGGTGTCCTGGTCTGGTACAGAAACGCCCCCAGGAACCAAAGCATCTTGATCGTCAAGGCCCCAAGCCCACCCGCGAGTCACCTCTCACCTTCTGCAGCAGAATGGTGTCCTGGTATAGAAACGCCCCCAGGAACCGAAGCATGTCAAACACCCTCCCAGGCACCCACGCCCCCCCTGCCCTGCTTTCCTCCACCACCCCCCTTCCCACTCCTCTGTCTCTCTCCCCTTCTCCCTCTCCGTCCTCCTCGTCCCCCCTCGCCCTCTCCCCTTTCCTCCTGCCCCCTGCCACTCCATCCACCAGGCCCACTTCAGCCATATCCACATCTCCATCCGAGGCTCGGGAGGCACCGAGGCTGAAGGGCAGGTTCGGTGCTGAGGTCGCATCGGCCGAAGGTTGGGATTTGAGGTTGAGAAGGTAGGCTGGGCGGATGGCATGGTAGGCTGGGGCAATGGAGCGGGATATGAGGCTGGTTGGGTGGAGGGGTGGGGGCGGGGAGTAGGGGAAGGAGAGAGAGCAGAAAGACGAGTTTTATTTTCCCACTGCATGGTAGGCTGGAGCGATGGCACTGGATATGAGGCTGATTGGATGGAGGGGTGGGGGGAGAGGGGGTAGGGGGAAAGGACAGAGAGCAGAACGAAATGGGTTTTATTGATTCACAATCGATTGGCACCCGTTTTATCAAAACGTTTAACTGACACGAGTAGAGGCATGTACTAGGCTGACAAAGAAGTGAAGTGACACGAGTAAAAAGAACTGGCATTGACAAAAATGGCATGGCCTTCTGGGTGCCGTGCAACAGCAGGGCATACATACAGTGGTGGTGGCATGGCATGGCATGGCATGGCATGGCACGTCGCGTGAGTGAGAACGGAATGGGGCAATTGCATTATGCACGGGCACACATGAGCGCACATGGCATGCGGGCGTGGGAGACATACGAGCAGAGGGCAGTGCAGATGGGCGGGTGGGCGATGGGGTGCAGAGGCCTCAGGTGCTCCAGCAGCTGCCGCGCATGGGGCCTGGTGGGTGGGTGGTGGGTAGAGTAAAGGGGGAATTTGCATGGGGAGGAGGAACAGACGCGTAGAGTGGAGGCAGCTTAAAAAACACAACGATCAATCAACCAGCAGCAGCGCCTTGCGCAAGAAAAAGACCCCACCCTTTTTGCCATTTTTTAGCATTCTCAGAAGCAGCACATACACGCAAACAATGCTCATTCACTCACTCACCAGTCATCCACCAGCAGCAGCGCCTTGAGCAGGCGTATCTTATCGTTGCTCTACACCTTCTGACGCGCCTCAGAAGTTGTACCCTTACCCGCAACTCACCAGTCATCCACCAGCAGCAGCGCCTTGAGCAGGCGCATCTTATCGTTGCTCTCCGCCTCGGCCCACTCCTTGGCAGCAGCGCTCTCCTGCCCGTCCACAGCCCCGTACAGGTCGTTCGATACGTCTGCTGGCTGGGGATCGTCTGTGAGGTCCCGCCCCGTCGCTGCCAGGTTGATCTTTCCTATTCGGTTCACCTGGAGGAGAGGGGAATGCAGGGGGCGAGGGAGAATGGGGGAGGATGTGACCGCAGAAAAAGGGCGAGGGGCGAGGGGGAAGGGGAGAAAGGGGGGTGTTAGGGAAGAGCAGCGCTCTCCTGCCTGTCCACCGCCCCGTACAGGTCGATCGTCACGTCTGCTGGCTGGGGGTCGTCTGTGAGGTCCCGCCCCGTCGCCGCCAGGTTGATCTTTCCTATGCGGTTCACCTGGGGAATGGGGACCAGGGATGGAGGGAAAGGGGGAGAATGGGGGGAGGAATTGGCAAAAAAATGGGGGGGGCGGAGAGGAAGAGAAAAGGTGAGGGGGGGTGGAGGAGGGGGGGGAGGGTACGGGAAGAGGGTTGTTTAAGAACTGGGCGCTCTCCTAACCGTCCACAGCCCCGTACAGGTCGATCGTCACGTCTGCTGGCTGGGGGTCATCTGTCAGGTCCCGCCCTGTTGCTGCCAGATTGAACTTGCCTACGCGGTTCACCTGGGGAAGAGGGGAGTGAGGGGGGGGTGAGGAGGCGGGAAATTGGGGGGAATGGGGGGAAAATGGGAGGAGATGGGAGAAAGATGGGAGGAGATGGGAGAAAGATGGGCGGAGATGGGAGAAAGATGGGCGGAGATGGGAGAAAGATGGGCGGAGATGGGAGAAAGATGGGCGGAGATGGGAGAAAGATGGGCGGAGATGGGAGAAAGATGGGCGGAGATGGGAGAAAGATGGGCGGAGATGGGAGAAAGATGGGCGGAGATGGGAGAAAGATGGGCGGAGATGGGAGAAAGATGGGCGGAGATGGGAGAAAGATGGGCGGAGATGGGAGAAAGATGGGCGGAGATGGGAGAAAGATGGGAGGAGATGGGAGAAAGATGGGCGGAGATGGGAGAAAGATGGGCGGAGATGGGAGAAAGATGGGCGGAGATGGGAGAAAGATGGGCGGAGATGGGAGAAAGATGGGCGGAGATGGGAGAAAGATGGGCGGAGATGGGAGAAAGATGGGCGGAGATGGGAGAAAGATGGGAGGAGATGGGAGAAAGATGGGCGGAGATGGGAGAAAGATGGGAGGAGATGGGAGAAAGATGGGCGGAGATGGGAGAAAGATGGGCGGAGATGGGAGAAAGATGGGATGGGAGAAAGATGGGCGGAGATGGGAGAAAGATGGGCGGAGATGGGAGAAAGATGGGCGGAGATGGGAGAAAGATGGGCGGAGATGGGAGAAAGATGGGAGGAGATGGGAGAAAGATGGGCGGAGATGGGAGAAAGATGGGCGGAGATGGGAGAAAGATGGGATGGGAGAAAGATGGGCGGAGATGGGAGAAAGATGGGCGGAGATGGGAGAAAGATGGGCGGAGATGGGAGAAAGATGGGAGGAGATGGGAGAAATATGGGCGGAGATGGGAGAAAGATGGGCGGAGATGGGAGAAAGATGGGAGGAGATGGGAGAAAGATGGGCGGAGATGGGAGAAAGATGGGCGGAGATGGGAGAAAGATGGGCGGAGATGGGAGAAAGATGGGAGGAGATGGGAGAAAGATGGGCGGAGATGGGAGAAAGATGGGCGGAGATGGGAGAAAGATGGGAGGAGATGGAGAAAGATGGGCGGAGATGGGAGAAAGATGGGCGGAGATGGGAGAAAGATGGCAGGAGATGGGAGAAAGATGGGCGGAGATGGGAGAAAGATGGGCGGAGATGGGAGAAAGATGGGAGGAGATGGGAGAAAGATGGGCGGAGATGGGAGAAAGATGGGCGGAGATGGGAGAAAGATGGGCGGAGATGGGAGAAAGATGGGCGGAGATGGGAGAAAGATGGGAGGAGATGGGAGAAAGATGGGAGGAGATGGGAGAAAGATGGGCGGAGATGGGAGAAAGATGGGCGGAGATGGGAGAAAGATGGGCGGAGATGGGAGAAAGATGGGCGGAGATGGGAGAAAGATGGGAGGAGATGGGAGAAAGATGGGCGGAGATGGGAGAAAGATGGGCGGAGATGGGAGAAAGATGGGCGGAGATGGGAGAAAGATGGGCGGAGATGGGAGAAAGATGGGCGGAGATGGGAGAAAAATGGGCGGAGATGGGAGAAAGATGGGAGGAGATGGGAGAAAGATGGGAGGAGATGGGAGAAAGATGGGCGGAGATGGGAGAAAGATGGGCGGAGATGGGAGAAAGATGGGCGGAGATGGGAGAAAGATGGGCGGAGATGGGAGAAAGATGGGCGGAGATGGGAGAAAGATGGGCGGAGATGGGAGAAAGATGGGCGGAGATGGGAGAAAGATGGGCGGAGATGGGAGAAAGATGGGCGGAGATGGGAGAAAGATGGGCGGAGATGGGAGAAAGATGGGCGGAGATGGGAGAAAGATGGGCGGAGATGGGAGAAAGATGGGCGGAGATGGGAGAAAGATGGGCGGAGATGGGAGAAAGATGGGCGGAGATGGGAGAAAGATGGGCGGAGATGGGAGAAAGATGGGCGGAGATGGGAGAAAGATGGGCGGAGATGGGAGAAAGATGGCTGAGATGGGAGAAAGATGGGCGGAGATGGGAGAAAGATGGGCGGAGATGGGAGAAAGATGGGCGGAGATGGGAGAAAGATGGGCGGAGATGGGAGAAAGATGGGCGGAGATGGGAGAAAGATGGGCGGAGATGGGAGAAAGATGGGCGGAGATGGAGAGAAAGATGGGCGGAGATGGGAGAAAGATGGGCGGAGATGGGAGAAAGATGGGCGGAGATGGGAGAAAGATGGGCGGAGATGGGAGAAAGATGGGCGGAGATGGGAGAAAGATGGGCGGAGATGGGAGAAAGATGGGCGGAGATGGGAGAAAGATGGGCGGAGATGGGAGAAAGATGGGCGGAGATGGGAGAAAGATGGGCGGAGATGGGAGAAAGATGGGCGGAGATGGGAGAAAGATGGGCGGAGATGGGAGAAAGATGGGCGGAGATGGGAGAAAGATGGGCGGAGATGGGAGAAAGATGGGCGGAGATGGGAGAAAGATGGGCGGAGATGGGAGAAAGATGGGCGGAGATGGGAGAAAGATGGGCGGAGATGGGAGAAAGATGGGCGGAGATGGGAGAAAGATGGGCGGAGATGGGAGAAAGATGGGCGGAGATGGGAGAAAGATGGGCGGAGATGGGAGAAAGATGGGCGGAGATGGGAGAAAGATGGGCGGAGATGGGAGAAAGATGGGCGGAGATGGGAGAAAGATGGGCGGAGATGGGAGAAAGATGGGCGGAGATGGGAGAAAGATGGGCGGAGATGGGAGAAAGATGGGCGGAGATGGGAGAAAGATGGGCGGAGATGGGAGAAAGATGGGCGGAGATGGGAGAAAGATGGGCGGAGATGGGAGAAAGATGGGCGGAGATGGGAGAAAGATGGGCGGAGATGGGAGAAAGATGGGCGGAGATGGGAGAAAGATGGGCGGAGATGGGA